ACATCAGATATGTATCCGATTTAGGACCAGATATGAAAGTGGCCTGGATCAAAAAAAAAAAAATCGGATTTGTGCTGTTCAGACTGTCATAAAACAATCAGATATGGGTCACATATGGGCGTAAAAGTCTGATTTGGGCCACTTTTGCCTGCAGTGTGAACGTAGCATTGTCAGCCTGTAGCCAGGCTACCTGTTCTTGATAACTCAGGGCCCCAAACTTAACAATGAAAATAGATATGATATCAACTGTGATGGATTACCACACTTATTTATGTCTCAAGATTTATGCAAGTTAATTTTCATACCACTGTGAAATAACAGTGGCTGTCTGGAAGGAGAGATAAACAGGATTCAAGTATATTTGATCAGTATTAAATGAAAAACACACATACAGCCATTAAAATCCTTCTTATGATCTTAGGCAGTACACAGAGTATATATACCCTCGAATAGAACTACACATCAGATCAATTACAGAATAAACAGGGAGAATAGACGGGACATAAATACACACAGGATTTGAGAAATTAAAGCAGCTATCAAAATTCACTGAGCTATGTATGCAAGTGCCAGTTTGTAGAGAAATCAGCAGTTCCTGTAAACCTGAGAAGCTACGTACAGCGGGTGCATGTTTGCGTGTATACCTCTGGCTTCATCCTTGAGCCTCTGAACTGACTCGAGCAGGTTCTCTTTCTCATCCAACTCGCTCTCGAGAAAGGCATTCCTCTCAATGACGTGGTTCATCCGCTGCTCAAAGTCCTCCAGAGACATTATGGTGGCCCTGGAACAAGCAGGATGACAATAAAAGATCACTAGACTGGATTCATCGGATTAGTGTGCTACAGTCTACGTCTCTCTGTGTGTACAGAAGTCAGAGTCAGCCTGGTTAGTTCGACACTTGACGATGGAGCCCACTGGTGACATCCTCAAAACATCCTAACCTTTTGGTCCTCTCCAGGTCGTCATTGGACTGCTCTAGCTCTCGGATGTATTTCTGCAGGTGATCTCTCACTGCTCTGGTTTGTGCCAGGTCTTCCTCCAGAGTTGAGATGTGCCTGAAAGCATCAGAGTGCTGAGCCTCAAATTTCTCCTGCAAACAGCACACAGACATCAAATGAATTGACATAGGAAAAGTCAGCGTTTGCAGTATTACGGCAGATTAATCAAAGCAGCTGTAAGCATGTTATAGAAGGATCTGTGTGTCTGTGCTAATGGTCTTTCTCCTTCTCGTCCCCAACAACCTTTGAGCAATCAGGGTTTTTTAGCACAATCCTGCATTCCCTCCTTCCATTAATATTTTCTTCCCCATGGAGCACTGAACAAAAATAGCAGTCAGCTGCTTTATAGCTAGGCAGCAATTTTCCTAGTGGCAATGGCAATGATAGGCTGAATTTGGGTTGGCTGAAGACTGTCTGTGTGTGTGGGTGTGTCTCTGGTTCTCTGTCTGCAAGAAAGAACAGTCTTCTTCTTCTTCATCCTCGTCACTAACTAGAGCACCAGGGCTTGCCCGGCTCTGTAGAGGCCTATTTATAATCAAGGTGCTCTACCTTTATGCTTTCCAGTTCCATGCGCAGTCGGTTGTTGTCTAAAAGCAGCTCTTTGTTTCGACTCTCGCACTGCTTCAGCTCCGTTTCCAGTTCTGCTTCATAGTCTCGACTCATCTGCTGAAACTCCTGTAGCTCCTCCTGTGCCTCATCAGCCCTGATGACAAAACCAGGTTTACACCAAAAACAGCTCACTCCACATACTGTATTAGTGTGTAGCTTTATTATAGGAGTATTATTTAACTTCCCTGTTAAATAATCTCTGAGGATTTGCCCAAGGTTGATCATGTTACCTCTGCTGGTGTCTCTCTGCCTGCTCCTTCCAGAAACTCAGCTCCTCTACCAAGGATGCAAACTTGTGTGTTGTTGGCTCTACCATGTCTGCCGCTTTGTGTCAGGATGATGGGGATGGGACGCCTGATGGTGAAGTAAAACACAGCATAGCTCTTAAAACTGTCCTTATCTGCCACACGAGCACAGACATCCTCCCCATTAAAGCCACAAAACTACTGCGGTTAGTCAATGCTAACTACGTTAGCTAGCGTTAGTCTGTAGCGCCGTGTGTTTAGTGCCGGTATACTGTGTCTACGGAGAGAAAAGGCTACAGAAACGTGTTTTTACATGTATGTATATAAAGTACGAAAAAGTAAAGAGGACCATTGAACGCGTTAGCTACTTTTTACAGCTGACCGCCGCGTAAGAAAGCCCGTACACCCTGGCTAAGCTCTTGAAGCTAAGCTAATATAGCTAGCTAAGCGACTTAGCCAGAATGTGATATTCCTACAGAGAACCACAGAAAGTATTCAGACTCACCTGCATAGAAGAGGGCGATTAAAACATGCCACTACTGGGGGGATGTATTTCGAGGTAAGGCTAAATGTTCCGGATGTGTGCAATATTGTGATTGCACAAACTAATCTCTCGTGGGGTTAGGACGAGCCTCGTATCGCCAACCAAATACAAACGAAGCGTCGGTTCTCGGACGCTATTGGACAATAGAGATGACGTTGTGAAACCATCATCCAATCACATTGTTCAACGAACTTGTAGCTGCGGAAAGTAAAGCCAAGACGCTGAGCTCTGGAGAGTGAAGTCTCCTGTCAGCCTGTTGACCTGCTATAGTGCAATGACAACAAAGAAAACGTCATTTGTGTAAGTTAAAAGTATAATATTGTTTTTGGCTTCTGTTGTTTTGTAAGGTTTATAGGTGCTGTATATAACATTTATTCCATCTTATTCACATGTATGGAGGAGCAGAATAGAAACACTTTAATAAGACGGGGCTTTTTATGCATCATATTTATTGTTTGCTTTACATTGTATTGTACAGGTTTTACTTCTGATCACAATTATTCCTGAATTAGATTAGTTTAAAGTTTAAAATGGAAGTGAGTCGTATTTTATAATAAATTGTCTGTACTGGGCTCATAATCTGGGATGGCTGATGATTTGATTAAGCAGCAACGGGGGACTATTGGAGCTATGAGGGAGACACAGGAACAGGCTCTGCATTGGATAATCAGGTTTGAATGATTTTACTATAGTATGTAGGTTAGTAGACCAATAAGGTTATACATTACTTGCAAAACAAGTTTCCATCTCATCTTCCCCATTAAACGTTTATGAGGGGGGAAAGCATCTATTATATGGTTATTATATGGTATTAACTATGAGGATATCATATATTAAAGTTAAGTATTATATTATATTATTTATTATACTTTAATATCTAAATGTTGATTATTAAATGAAAGACCCCATAATGATATAAGGGAGAACAACATTCTTTAATTGTACCGTGTATGGGCTCATGAAAGCCTGGAAGGAAGAATATGGAAGAATATGAATTCATCTTTCATGTCAAATGAAGAGCTGCCATCAGTCCATCAGCGTGGACAACCCAGGGTCTTATTAACATGCACATACAGTATACCACCTGTTGTTAACAGCACATTTACATACAAATAATCACATGCTTTACAATCCAGGCAAAGCTACTCCAGGGGTTCGTATAATACCTAACAAATCATGTTTAGTTTATGCTTACTTTGGATGGACAAACTTTCATCACTCACTAAATCTTCTAATTACGCCACCTCAATTATAAATACATCTCTGTGTTCAGAAACTTTTCTCATTCTACCAGAAAGGGCAGGAAGTACATTCTGGCACCTGGAAAATAATTTACAGATTTCAGTCCAAAGAACATGGCTTATATTGGAAGGCATTTAAGATCCTGAGAAAGGTAGTATGTACCATAGAAAAAAATATAAACAGGAATTTAAAAAACAGGGTCAGGAGTCTGCAGCAGATCGTCTCGGATCTGAGACACTTGTATTTGGAGTATTCACAGTTATTAAAAATTAGACATCTGAGAGGTATAATGTCTGCTGGCCAAATTACAGGCTGTGTGAAAGAGTATAGGTCTCCTGTTTCTGATATGGATTACACTGCTGCAGGTCCGTACCCCATTGTAAACTCAGATAAAGGTAAGTGCACAAGTTTTTCTGTCAGTTTGTCTCTTCCATCACAGCAGAGATTGGTCTGTCAGCAACACGGCAGAGAGATCTGAAGCAAAACAAAACACACTCAAGGTTAAATTCACCACATAAAAATCTTATTTCACTAAAGTCACACAGCCTCCATCCGTCCTTACCTCATTCTTCAGCTTTATTAGTGTCTTTGTTGTTCTTGCGTAAGCACGTCTTCTTACTGTCACACACATCAGTCTTCACCTGACCCAGAGTTCGCAGTAGGCACATGGCGTCAAACCCCTCATCACCAGCTTGTTGCAACAACTCAAGCACCTGTAAACAAGCAACGTCACTTCTTTTTTAAAGCAAAAGCAACAGTGAACACAGGTGACCTATTTTAACCACCATACTGGACCTTCAAGTATCTGTCCTGGGACCCACCTGCAGACACTTAAATGATTTAAGTTCGCTCAGGTTCTCTTGCAGGAACAGCAGATAGATGCTGAGATCATTGTAGAAGGGTGTGACCACACCCAAAGCACCAAAGCCTGGCAGCATCTCATAGGGCCGGAGAAAGCCGGAGCTCTGGTGAGCTGGTCCAAGAGCAGCGTACACCACCAGTGGAGCAAGAAGCACATACACTCCCAAGTTGATGTAGCTGAGCAGCCTGAAGACACCCACCGCCACAAGCTTACACTGGACGGCAGACGGCACTATGCTTTCGTTCTTCAGCAACCCTGTACGCAGGTCACAGGGAAACTCGTCAGTGAAAGAGGCCAGTTGGATGTAGTAGCCAAGGTAGAGACAGGCCAGCAGGAGGATCAGCAGAGTCAGGCCCCGACATGTAAGGTACTTGACCACGAGGCTGCGAGAGAAGCGCTTGGTCTTCAGGTACTGCTCCACTAAAGGGTATTTAAAGCAACCCTCTGTCAGGTCCAAAGCACTGTTGCAGAAAAAGACACATGGTCAAATAACCCTTCCCTACAACAACATGGTTATCTGAAGGAAAAACAACAGATGTGCGATTACCTCTGGGTGTCCTCGGGTGCATCTTTGCTGTCTAAGGATGCTAGATTCTTGGCCAATTTGATGGCACGATTATAAAAGCGATCCAGCTCCTCCATGATAAAGTTGAGGTCAGAGGAGAGGTGCGGAGCTGCAGTGAAACGCCAGAACAGGGCCGGGATATACAAGAGGATGGCCAGTAAAAGCAGGATATATGGGAAGAACTGAGGGATCAGAGAGGGAGAAAACAGACCGGAAAAAGAAGAATTAGAAGAAGAAACAAATATCTCAACTTTGATTTCTAGACGTTTTTAGTATAACTTTAATGTAGCTGTTTTTACTCTGTACCTTGTGCAGCCATAGTGGTGAACTGTTCGCTTGTTGCTGCACTGCTGCCCAACAAAATGAGTCCACATAAGCGGCCTGTCTCCAGGAGAAGTTAGTGGGAGCAAAGCAGCTGATCTGGGTGCCTGGATGAAGAAAGTGAAGAATTAGAGCAACAAACACTACAAGAACTGTCAGCCCTCCTCTGTACTCATGGCCTAATTTGTTGATTGGTTGTTTTCAGCGTACTTTGTGTCAACAATTATGCCATCCTCTATTATGGCAGGTGTACAATGGGAAGTCTAATCAGGCACGTACAACTCACAAATGACCCACATAGTCAACAGACAGTAACATTTTGGCAGCACTGGAGCTGTCATATTAATATAACAGAATGAAGCTTTAAACAAACTGAGCACCTTCTGGCTACAGGATTCTCATTTTCTGTGTTTTCCATTTATGCCATACGGCCAAAGTATCAGTTAAATCAATTGCAGTATTAATCATAATACTACCAGTTATATATAAATATATAGTAAGTCATCTTCTGTTTGCTGTTGGAGCATGAAGCAATGAGTTTTCACATAATGCTAGGACAGTTATTTCTTCTTAAAGTTTTGCCTGCAACAGTGAATGTCCACAAAATGAATGCTACATTATTTGACTATAGCTATAATCATATGCAACACATATTTCCAACTACTTTTATTATGTAAGATCAGTGGTGGAAAGGAACTAAGAAGTTACTCAATTGGTCGAGTATGCAACTAATGGCAGTGTGATGTAGAAACTGGAAGCCACCAGTGCACAGACACTGAGAATGGACTTTACAGTGAAGTAGGAGACATCTTGTGTCCAGCAGGAAAACTATAGAAATGAACAGATTTTGCATATTTATAGATTCTGTAAGTTTTAATGAAGTAGAAGGAGACGATGCCTTTTAAAGGAGTTTAATATGGAAATTATTCCTCTTTTTTTGGCTGAAAAAACATTAGACACAGTTTGAGTTTGGAGATACTTGTACTTCACCTGAATCATGAGTATTAATTTAAAATATTTCTAAAAAAAAGAAAAGTGCAATCAGTTAAAGAATCCAGCTCTTCCACATAAATGACCAGCTGTTCAAATGCATTGGGTTATTTTAGTGTTGACATTTAAAGGAGGCATTAAAAACAATCAACACTTAGTCTTAGACCATAGTTTGCTTAACTTCCATAGTTTCTTATGAGATGGAGATATGCATCCACTTTTCCATTCCATATTTTGATCTGTTGAGTTATTTTAATAATTCACTACCCACTAATTATACACAGACGTCTGTTCTGTCCGGTGTATGAAACTGAGCAGCCTCCTCTTTTGCACAACAGGCCTTCACACATACAGCAGACAGGTTGATATGCCACAGCAGGAAAAGCACAGGTATAAATAATAACATTAATGATTACTGCACAATGAAGCCCTTGTTAACGTTATTAGGAACACCAGCAATGTTCCTACTAAGACAAGTCAAAATGTCTGCTGTGAAAAAGGCCTTTGTACTTACTCTCTCTCTGCATCTCCTCCTTTGTGATTAGATTTAAAAGGAAAAATCAATGTTGGATTTTGGCCATAATGTGCATTTACCTTACGAGTATCATTATTATTAGTAGTAATCAAAGTCCACTCAAGGCTTGCAGTGTGTTGGATCCATCCTATCTTGTGTATAAGGGGCTCTAGCAGGACTGGCAGATAGCAACAACAGACTGTGGGCATTATGACCTAAGAAGATTATGTAGCTATGTTAAACAGCGCATGGGGCTGTAGATATTGTGTTTTCACACTAAAGAGGGAGACACCTCGCAGATCTCCTTCTGTTGATTCATGTGAGCTATCTTTACAGTAAACGTGGGTCCATATGGCACCAGCTTATCTACAAAGGCTTCATCACAATACATGTAGAGGTGTCTGTCAGTATGTCCATATGCCCAAAGTTTCCATCAGCAGCAGCAGTGAATGCCTGCCTCACTGTCTGGGCGTGAGATAAGCAGAAGGGTGGAGACATAAACCACACCTTCTCCAGCATTCACACCTCTCTTTCTACCCATTTACTGAATATAACCCCACACCATGCGCACACATCACCCTGCCTCACCCACCACTGCATTTAAGTGTGGTTCATTGAAACAAAATGGGATGTAGCAGAGGGGGGTAAACAAAGCAGCCCCGCCCGGGTTTCCATTGGCTGCAGAGCTTCTGTTATTATCGTACGTGATGAAATTCAAAGGATTATAACCTCAGACGATGGAGGCTCACATATCCAACCACTCACCGACTGACACCTCTTGGGCAAATGCGAGCGAGATGAGAAACAAAGGCAGTCCCACCGCTAGAAACGTGACTATTTTGTCCGCGGCCAGCTCCAGACGCAGCCCCTTGTACTTCGCCTCCGTGGGGTCCTTCAGCAAAAAGTCGGAGAAAACGTACTCGGTGGCTACGTGGGCAATCGCCATGACTGACGGGAACAAAAAGCCCGTGTCGTCTAATTGATGGAAGAGCCAGTCTCTTTGCAATTAGCCGAAAACGAACTGTGTCTGAGGTTAAAATGATGAATAAATTAAAAAAAACAAACTCCCGCAGTGTAGAAATGAGAATAATGAATAAAACACCGAGGCGTTATTGTTAACCCATCTCCACTTACTACTGGGACTGATGGTTGGACCTGCTGTCCCGTTACACTACCCCAGACATCACACAGGCAACAGGGGGGAACTGGCTGTCTGCCAGCCGCTAGAGGGCGCTACTGGAGCTATAAGTGCACCTGCCAGACAATAGACAATAATATGATAGCTGAGTTTATTGTGATAAGTATATACAAGTGATTACATACTCGTTATGCAGAATGGTTTATATTACTGGGTTATTATGAATGATGCATGATGTTACAGGTAATCGAGACACAGCTAATTGTGTCTTCTTTATATACTTGTTGGATGGTTTAATCTGTAACAAAGCATCATTTAAACTTTTTAACTGATCTATAATCTGTTGAGTGTACTAGTAACGATGACTGTAAAATAAATGTAGCTGAGGAATATGTGCAACATTCGCCTTTTAAAGTAGAAGTAGCTGCTTAAGCACCTTAAATGGAAATGCTCTAAATTGCACAGTTTATTTGAGTAAATGCACTTACCCTCAACTTCTGATATTGGTGCACTTTTTACTGAATGACAACATTTACAGTTCAGAGAAAGGCAAGTCCCAAAGCTGTTTATGTGAGTACTAACAGAAAGAAATAATGGGAAGGTCCGAAAATCATTTATAAACATATTAGCATATTAGTGATAAAATGGATGATTTCTATCACTTATCACATTTTGTAGCCCAGTATAAAATGATGCACTTAAACATGATTAAAATCAACATATTGTTGAAACAAAACACAAGATATTCAATATATTGCAACTAGGGCTACATTTAAAGAATATATCTTAGTGTGAAAATCCGCCAATTCACTCTCAATCACATTCATCGATCACTAACAATGACATTTGCGACAGCTGTGCGCGCTTTCTGGCACAAGAACGTTACAAAAAGGTGCGCGTTTCCAGGGCGACAGACAGATAGGGGGGTAGCAGTCCGTTGAGGAAGATGTGAAAGACGAGACCTTCTCAGGTAGATAACAACCCGCTGTTCTGGACATGTCTCGCCATTACCGAATAGTATTGATTTTACCGTGAAGACAATGGACGCTGGCATGTGGGGGAGGGAGCTACGAGTCTGTTAAACAAGCTAATGGTTGTTAGCTTAAAGCTGAGGCTAGCTCAAGGCAAACAGATGACGATAGATTAGCTCATCCAGGTAGCAGTGTGGCTATTTAACCGGACAATTCCGCCACAAACAACGATTAATTAATTAATACACGCAAAGAGACGACTTTAACGTGAGATAGCTCGTAGCTAACTTAACGTCGGCAGTTTTACATGACCCGCTTTGGTGAAAAACAACTGTGGTGTAATGTTAGTTAGCCCGGGATAAGCAGTCCAAACTTTACGGGCGTTAAAACGTGATGAACACACGCCGTGACCCCTTTGTTCATTTAAAGCGCAGGTACTTGGTGTGTTAACTTAAGTCAAACGCCATTGCACGACCTGTGCTTTGATAGATGAGTTAGTAAGGACTCTTTTTGTGTCTAATGTGAACGGGAATACAAACGCACCGGGTCATTGAGAGGTGATGTAACCGCAACTAAGTTAACTAACTAGTGTCCACTTTTAACTTTCGTTTCCTCTACACAGGAAAGCATGAGAGAAAGAGAGACGAAAGTATGGTGAAGGATCTCTCTGGGTTGTATGATGGAAGGACTGGGAAAGGAGAGATCCATATGCAGCTCTAGACCCTACCCATGGCTCAGTCACCCCAAAACAGAGGCCTCAACCCTGCTATGGAAACTCAAAGACTGCTTCTCCACCAATGAGACCACATCCCTTCATCACACAGATACAGAAGTATGCACTTACCTGTGTACAGTCCAGGTATCTGTTAGTAAAAGACTCATTAATTGGTCGGCTGATTATCTCACATTTTAAGATGATCAGCATCGGTGTGGAACAACAATTGTCTGCAGACATCTTCATCAAAGTGGCTGCTGTAGAGCAATGTTAGTGCTCCCCCTTGTGTATTTTGGGATGGTGGTGAAGTTACTGTCAATGTTTGTCTTAATTTCCTCAGACTCAGTAGAATAACATACTGTACCCCACTCCCATATAATACAAGTCACATTCTACATGTTTTTATTTTTATTCTATTTCATTAATCAAATTAAATAATACAATAAAAAATTCCATCTAAAACAACGCGTTACTGTGTAAGATCACCACGTATATTAGATTGTAATGTGCATGGCATAATTTAACTTCGGTAAAGTAGCATGCAGGTGTGACTGTCATACAGCAGCAGGTTGGGAGATGCTGTGGTAAAGCTGTTTAGTGTTGCCCTGACTGCAGAGATGGAACAGTATCTGTGTTTGCATTGAGCCACTGCAAGCCATGTGAAATTTGTTGAATACTGGTCAGTGTGTTCATGTCCTGCTTTGAAGGTGCTGTTAAAATCATTATACACGACTTTTGCTTTAAGATTGAGCAGGTTTCCATAATACTAAACAATAGTCCACAGAAAATCCTTCATGTAAAATAATCTGCTCATCTTTTTATGTTCCAGAACAATTACATGGACAACAAAAAGGCTGTGCTGGAATTGAAAGATGTCCCTCCTCCTCCACACCATACTTCCTCTTCCCAATCATCCCAGCCCTTCTCTCTGGCCCCACTCCCTTTGCCCCCTCCCTGCTTGCCTCCTCCTCAGCTTACACAAGACTCTCACCAACAACAACCACTACAGCAGCAACAAGAGGGGGCTAGCCCCAAAGTAAGCCTTTGCACTCAATGTGACTATTGTAGGACCGATGGCTATGGGTTATTAAGTGGCGGAGGTGTTGTTGGTAGCAGTAGCAGCATTGCTGGTGTTGTCTCGCTCTATATGGCCCCAAGCTCTGTGGGAGCACCCATCAGCAGCAGCAGTATCAGCAGGTCTGGCTCTTGCTCTTTAGCTTCTTCTAATTATCAGTATAAAAGTAACCTGAGCTGTAGGAGTGAAGGTGAAGTAGTTGATCCTTTGCTCAGTCTTGGTTACAAACCTCAGCTGCTCCCTTCAGTCGCTACCTCTCAGCCTATTTCATCACACCCCTACCTCTCCTGCTGCTCAGGGCTCCTCCACACCTACCCATCTGTACCTCTTCCATGCAGTCAACCCAGCCTGTTTCCCTCCTCAGCACCTCTGGCTTCCCCTCTCCCCTGTGTTTCCTCTCTACCCGCTCACTTGCATGGCTCTTGCCTGGCCTCTTCTGGCTACTACACATGCAGTGTGGACTGTTGCCCGTCAGCCAGAAGATCCCAGAGAAGCACACTCGGTGATCACCCAACCACCACCACCATCACCACTACAACCACCTCAGCACACTTCTGCTCTAATCCTATGCACCTAAATGTAGAACGCACGGTTTGTGTGAAGGGGGCGCACTACTGCCAGGAGTGCCTGTTGAAGGTTGGTAGCACCCTTCTTTTGTATTTGTGTGCCATGAAGATCACTGTGGGTATTCAGTATGCATGGATGGCCTCAGCCATGTCATTTTAGACTGGCTTTATATTTGTTATACAGTGCTTTTGGTAGTATGTCTTGCCGTTGTTTTATTACCGTGTTCCCTGCCAAATGTTTTGATTTGTATTTATTTGTAGCCCATGAATGGTCTGCCGTCAGAGTCGGACAAGGTGTGGCCAAATGTTCCTGTTCCCCAGACTACTTCTATCCCTATCCCCATTTGTAATGGCTGTGGCACCTCCTCTGATAGCATGATGCTCATGTCATCAACCAGCCTTGGCAAGACTGGGCAGAAGTATGGTCAGTGGATACATTTTTTATTTTATTTTTTTTACTAGAATTTTATGTCCAATTGGTATTAAATATCTTCACAGGACTGTTTAAAAATAGCAAGCATTTTGGGATTTGAATGCAGTGGATAAGAAATGTTGTTCCATCCATTTTAACTGCAATGACAATTAATTAACTTTGGTGTATAAAGTGCTTTAAAACTGTTAGTGTGTTTTTAGACTGGTTGTTTACCTGTCTGCTAGGTTCTCCAGAGAATAGTGGTCCTGAGAACATCCCTCCGGTGGGTGTCTTCTGGGACATTGAGAACTGCAGCGTGCCCAGTGGACGCTCTGCCGGAGCTGTTGTCCAGCGTATCCGCAGCCGCTTCTTTCAGGGCCACCGGGAGGCAGAATTCATTTGTGTCTGTGATATCAGCAAGGAGAGCAAAGCTGTTATCCAAGAGCTCAACAACTGCCAGGTACCAGCACTAATATATTTTATTTGAATGGTTACACTGTAACAAATGAGTGCCATTCACACCCTAAATTAAGCCATTAAGCCATTCTGCCATTGGGCTACAGTAGTAAGTAAAGTAAGCTAAGGCTACAGTATTTACGTCATCTGTCTTTTAAAAATTTTTTATCAGGTCACTGTTGCACATATCAATGCCACCGCCAAGAATGCAGCAGATGACAAGCTTCGCCAGAGCCTACGGCGCTTTGCTGAGACCCACACTGCACCTGCAACTGTCGTACTGGTATCCTGTGAGTTCAGCTCAGATTCACCATATTAAACTGCAGCCTTGAACCTTGAACAAGATTTTGTGATAACAAGTGTTATCTTTCATTGTTAACAGCGGATGTGAACTTTGCGAGTGAGCTGAGTGACCTGCGTCATCGGCATGGTTTCCAGGTGATCCTGGTCCATGGCAACCATACATCTTCAGCCCTAATGCAGCACGCCCACTGCCACGTGGCCTTTCAGGAGATCACAGCTGATCTGCCACCACGCGTGCTTGTCAAAGCACAGGTAGGCCTCACAAATGCTTTATTTAAAAACTTTTTGATCTACTCTGTAATAAGTAAGGTAAGTAGGTGCTGGCAAAAGTAACCAAGGAGAGTTTCATTTTAGTATGGACTTAGCAATATGGCCGAAAGTGAGGCTGCTGGAATGTGTATTTCATCAATTATTTATTCACGCACTTTTTTTTCTCTTTTTTTTTTTTTTTAAGCGATCATTACAATTTTTCCTAACCGATAGCACTCTTAGCCATGTCTTTCAACTAAAAGGAAGACTACTGCTTTAATTTTGTAAGTGTAAATGATACAAACCAGACAGGCTCTTCCTCCCCTCCCTCAGCCCAGTTTCAACCTCCTCTATGTGCACAACCTCCCTGTCAACTGTGACAAGAGTCTGCGGAACGCTGTGAAGCTCAGGCTCCGCCGCCTGTCAGACAACACTGGTGGCAAGGTGCTGGGCATGTCCCAGGGCACAGCAGTCCTCCGTTTTGGCAGCCCTGAGGCGGCTTCCCGTGCCCGCAAGCGAATGGAAAATGAGGATGTGTTTGGCCGCAGAATCAGCCTCTCCTTCTCCCCGCGGCCCAGAGAAGATGCAAGTCCTGAGCCTGAGCTTCAGTCTCGGCCCCATCACTTGCCTCAGGCTCAGACTCTGCCCCAGAACTATCCAAACCAGGATTCAATGTTCCCCCCGCCCCCATCCATATCCTCCTTCTCTTTTCTGCCTCTGGAGAAGCCCAGGTCACCCAGGAGGCCACGGCGAGCAACCCGCCCATGCCACACCTCGGGCCCAGTGCCTGAAAGGCCCTACAGCCCCAGGAGGGGGTGCAGTGGGCCCCCCGGGGGTGTTCCAGCCAAGCCCCATCAGGTCAGCAGACTCATCAGTGCCTGCTTCCCCTTATCCTGCATTGCCCTCTATCCTTGCAGGAGCTGCTATGTAAATCACAGTAGCTTCTCCCCCCCCTCCTCCCCCCCAGTGTCCTTCTAACTGCTGCTTTGACTAACAGCTTGTAGCTGCTTGCTAAGCTTCATTTGTCTGCCTGTGTGCTAGCATGTTGCATTAGTTGTTGTTAGTGCTTTACGTGTGCCCTGTTGTCCTGCATGTTCATTGCTCATTCATCATACTAATGCATGAATTAGCCCGTAGCTTTTTGTGCTTTTTTCCTGACTGTATGTTATCCAGTATGTCAGTGCTGATATACTGCGTTTGTGTTTTGTCCAAAGTCTGATCCATGCCTCCATTTATTTCGTGGCTGAATTGGAGCCCATGCAGTTTTTGACTTTGATAAAACTGACCCCTGGTGGCTGGAATGACTGACATGGCTTGTCTTTTTCTTCTTGATTGTGAAAGACAAGAGAACAAATTATGAAAAACCTGCAAATGGATAACTGTATACAAAGACTAAAACTAGGGATGAGCATTTTAAGCTATAGTTGGACAGTAAAGGGAAATTTCAATTGGAAGTTTATTCTCAAGCACTGTATTAAAATGTGATTACAAGTGACTGTCTCATGTCTCAGTTGTAACACTCACCGTCTCTGCAACTCTCAATGGCAAGCCTGTTGGCTGTTTCAACATGGCCATGTGCTTTTCAGCATTCTTGTCATATCACTCTTTAATCAGACAGCTCATGTTCTGTAAGTCATTGATTCACAAGTCTTTCCACAGAACAAAGATAAATACAATGAGTTCTAATATTCAGCTGGTTTTGGCTGCTGCTCTGTGATTTGTCGCCAGCTAGTTTCGTTTTTAATGCGCATCCCTAGTTAAATTCTCAGAGCATCAGTTTAAGCCCTTGCATGACTTTTTCCATTGAGCTTGACATACCCGCATGCATGCACACAAACACTTCAATGGTATCCATTTCGGTCACCATCTACTGTATTAATATCTGCTGCTTCTGTCGGATCCAGGAGCTGGGTAGTTTGGAGGGCAAGCCCAGAATGGGCTTCCACCACCTGGAGAAAGGACGTGCTGCTTCCTCTTCCCCCCACAGTAATGGTGAGACAGTGGCCCTGGAGCAGCTGTCCAAGCCTGGCCTCACTGGGGAATCCATGTACAGGAGAAGGTACACAGAGAAAAGGGACATTGGACTAAGAAGACTGCCATTTAATAATTGGTTCCATATATTTGGATGTTGCCCTTGACACATGTTTTTTTTTTTTTAAATCTTCCATGCAGGAGAGAGGGTTCCAGTCCTCGCAATGTGACTGAATCGCCGGTAGAACAAGGGGACAGAAGCTCAGGAGAGTTCCAGATTAGCACACCCTCAGCCTTCAGCAAGTTGAACCTGCACAGGAGTCTCAGTCCCCTTGTCCTGCCCCAGAGCTCCTGGTCATCCAGGTGACATATTGTGTTTAAATCAGTCATATTTGACTAAGTTGGCCTAGAGCATTAATTGTTCTGGAGGTGGCATACTGCTAATGCTGCATAAATATTCCCAAGACCTTCTTAATATTAAGTGTAATGTTGTTTTAAATTTTTCTTCCCCCTTGTCTAACAAAAGGAGTGCGTCCCCCTGCCTGTCCAGCCGGTCCTCGCCCCTCCTGTCTGCCCCTCGTAGCCCATGTCCCGAAGGTCCTTCTGAGCCTTTCTCAGATGGGGCAGAGGTCCAGGTGGCCAACCTGGATTACAGAATGTCCCGCAAGGATCTGCAGCAGACACTGCATGACACCTTCTCCCGATACGGGCGGGTAAGACTTACTTCTGTGGTGTTATTGTATGATTAATGTATAGAGTATGTCGGTATCCTCTTGACATCCAAAAGAAAGTCCATTTAGATGGAAAGTTTGCCTGCAATAAGATTGTTTGCAGACTTTTTAAAAAATTCAGCCTTGTCTCAAAACATTTCCTTGTTTCGTCTAGGTGAAAGCTGTGCAGCTTAGCCCCCACACAGACTATCAGCTCAAGGCCACAATCCAGATGTTGTTCCTGCAGCAGGCCATAAGTGCTGTCAGTGGCCTACACCGTTATAAGATCGGAGGCAAGCGCATTCAGGTGTCTCTGATCACCGGTGGCAGCAACAAATCCCTTGCCATGCTGAGGTACAGCAGAGTGTAGTTGAGTTGGGGGTTCATGCAACTTATTTGCAATGTATTTTCTTCTGTTTTGCATTGTGATGGTACATTTTCAGCTTTTTCATTATGCAGCACTGAGATCATCAGCATTCTTCAGGATGCACCTGCCAATTGCCTTCCCCTCTTCAAGTTCACAGAGATCTATGAGAAAAAGTAAGTAGCTTTGTCTAAACTCTTAACTTTAGCAACTAATCTCATATTTATTTTGTAGAGTGTAGCATTTCCAAAACTATATGCTTTTCTTTTTTTTTTCCCCCTCCAGATATTCTCGTAAGCTTGTGGCTGGAGATCTGTACAGGCTACCAGAGGTGGTGGCAGTGCGGGAACAGGGAGGCTCAAGGCTTGTGTGTCTTCTGCCTAGTAGCCAAATTCGTCAGAGTCCACTGGGATCTTCCCAATCCCAGGAGTGCTCCTCCTCTGCTAGTGGCAGCCCTGTGGTGTTTGAAGAGCTAGAGTACCATGAACCTGTCTGCAGACAACACTACACACAGCAGGACTTCAGGTTATTAGAATCTTGCATGAAATGCACATGGTCTGTTTATATAGTATTCTGATTGAATGCTTAATTCATGGAAATGTATATTACAATACACTAGGTTGCATGCTCCTCCTTGTCAAACCTGGTTAGCCAAGACATTATTTTCTAAAACTGAATTGCACAGATTTAAATCTTTAGTAGTAGTCTTGTGGTGTTGGCCAATTGGTAACTCGTGGTGCATCTTAACCTTTGATGTACCTCACTCACTTTCCCTGAAAAATTGAATCATCCACCTTAATTTTCACAAGCACCATTCTCTGAGCATTACAATTTCAGCTGTCACCGATGTCTTCTCTGATTTTATCTACCTTTTTTTTCTTTAGTGTGGCTGACTTTGACCCCGACTCCTATAAAATACCATTTGTTGTAATGTCTTTGAGCACCTTAGCCTCTGAGGTCCACAGTCTGTTGCAGTCACATGAGGGAACTCTACCATTACTCAGGTGACAACCACCTCTTTAATTCATGTTTAACCTAATAATCAACATTTTGAATCGGGGTATATTTTCACATAAATTCAATAATGTAGTATATTTTCCTTTTTAGTTTTCCAGACTGCTATGCAGCAAAATTCAGCCCTCTGCAGCTGGGCAATGAGACACTGGAGGGCGGTGTTCCTCTGGAGCACCTCATTACCTGTGTTCCCAGTATCACAATAGTCACAGCTCAGAATGGCTTCAAAGTCATCAAGTGGATCCACAATAAACCACCAGCACCAAACTCCGGTAGGAACATGTTGACATTTCGTAGTTTCTACAGTACCTACATAGTGCTATCTTCACCAATCAAATATACCCATTTTATTTTTTGCAGAGCCGTGGATTCAGCGTTGCAAGAGTCCGGTTGGCAACCCACAGCTCATTCAGTTCAGCCGAGAGATTATTGACCTATTGAAGAGTCAGCCTTCTTGCATCATGCCCATGAGCAAGTTCATACCCTCATACCACCATCACTTTGCCAAGCAGTGCCGTGTCTCTGACTATGGCTATTCTAAGCTGCTGGAGCTTCTGGAGGCCGTGCCACATGTCCTGCAGGTACTGAGGATAATTAGATCAGACATATTTCTTATTTTTTGTTTTTTGTATTCTACATAGTTTTTTGTTTTTTTTCTTCTTTACCTACAGATCTTGGGTATGGGTACCAAGCGTTTACTGACCCTGACCCATCGTGCTCAAGTGAAGCGCTTCACCCAGGACCTGCTCAAACTGCTTAAATTTCAAGCCAGCAAACAAGTGGCAATCAAGGATTTCATGCAGGCATACCATTGGTCAGTCATCTTTGGTTGGAGCTGTAGATAATGTCTTCATATTGCCTTTGTATATTGTAGAGGTTTTTGCTTGCAGTTTGCTCGTTGGTTTGGCTGTGAACAGTCGGAGAAAACTATACAAGTCTAATAGAAGTACAGATCAGTGTTGTGGATGTTAGTAATGTATTCTTATACTTTGTGTATCAGGTGCTTCTCTAGAGACTGGAGAGTAATCGACTATGGCATATGTGACCTGATGGACCTGCTGACTGAGATCCCTGACACCACCATCACTATTACACACGAAGACACAGACACGATCATCTCTGTTCCCAAGAGAGGTCTGTTTAAAGCAGTTATTGAAAAGACTAAAAGAAACAGGTCATTAAAAGGTTACCTTTTTTAAAGGTCCAGTGTGTATCAGGATGATCTCTTGGTAGAACTAGAATCTAATATGCCTAATTATGTTTTTATTAATGAATAATCAGTTTTCATTGCCTTTAAAATTGGTTGTTTTTATCTACTGGGGGAGTGGGTATTCTTATATTGAGTTTGCCATGTTCAACCGCCATGTTTTTACAGTAGCTCAGAACAGAGAACCAAATACTGGTTCTAGATGGGGCCTAATGCATTTTTTGCCAGCTTCACGGCTACCATAGTTTCTTCTACATGCTTGGAACGGGAGGGTGAGACGACAACAGAATTTGCAATCAGCAACTACCATTAGATGTCACTAAATCTCTAACATTGGTCCTTAAGTTATAGGAATGGTAACACTTTTTATGAAAGCTAATGAAGGAAATGAAAACCCTACTATAAAAGGTATTGACAAATTTTAATTTATTTAGATTTCACTGAATTCCCTCTTATTGCCTACAGAGCGTACAGTGGAGGAAATGGAGCGCACTAAACAGTTTGGGAAGGAGGTGGTGGACCTTCTCCGTCACCAGCCTCACTGCCGAATGCCCTTCAGTAAGTTCATCCCCACCTACCACCATCACTTCGGTCGTCAGTGCAAGCTCAGCTACTACGGCTTCACCAAGCTCATGGAGCTCTTCGAGGCAATCCCAGACATCCTGATGGTGAGTTAGGAAGCCTGTGGTTCTCCAACACTGAGAATTGTTGTTCCTAATGGAATATTTACTACCTTTCAGGACAAAAAGTGAGATTGAAGAAAGTACATTGAAGCACAGGTGTTACATTTGTGTTGTGTAGTGATTGTCCCTTTGTGTTAATCAGCAGGATTTGATCTCAGTAGTTCAAGTTAAGTATCTGAGTCCTAAATTTAGACTTGCGTTTTTTTAGTTGACTTGCTCATTCAAACTGACCTAGTAATAGCTGATCAGCATTAGGCAGCTCCCATGGTATTTGCACCCCCCACATTGATTTATACTCATTTTTTTTTTTTTATTGATTTATGTTTTTGTGGGTCATATCAGGCTCTTAACTTTTCGCGTCATGTGCTTTGATTGAGCTAGTTTACTGAACCCACCTTTTTTAATCAAGTATAAATGCCTCCTTTGTCGAGGCCTGAACACTAACTTAACGACTGTTTGTCAGGTATTGGAGTGTGGTGAGGAGAAAGTGCTGACTCTGACGGAAGTGGAGCGTATCAAAGCTCTGGCTGCTCAGCTGGTCAAGCTGCTTCGGGCTCAGAAAAACTCCAGCCTTCCTGTCAGCCAGCTGCTCACAGAGTACAGCAAGACCTTTGGTTATGGCCTACGCCTGCAGGACTACGATGCCAGCTCCCTGCCAGCTCTGCTGACCAAACTCTGCCATGTTGTCAAGGTAAAGAACTCCAGAGAGTTTTCTTGTTTGGTTGTTTCTTTCACTGCTCCAAATAGCATTTGTGGATCTTAACTCTACTGATTTAGATAGAGACTCCAAGGCGTTATGAACAAACACATTCATCCATCATTAAATGTCTGCCAGAAACTATATCTGTTCTAGTGTTCTAGTTCATTTAGTGCTTAAAATAGAATTAATTCAGCAAAAAGAAGAGAAGAGACCATCTCAGTACATGTCAATTTATCTGACTAGCCCAATAACAATTCAAATCAGTTTAAAATATCAACATTGACATTATGGAAAATGTATTATTTAGAGTGACCTAGAGCAACCTACAGGCACTGTAAGTGCACTCGTGATGGTCCTTACTTGGCAAGACCAGTGTTTTCACTAGTAAAATACAGATAAAGAAGCAGCCACTTTCTTTCCATTTCAAGGTGGTGGATGGCTGTGAGGGCCGGGAAGTGCAGTTGATCAACAGGAAGTCTTTGCGCTCACTCACCTCCCAGCTGCTGAGTCTGCTCATGTCTCAAGAGGAGGAGCAAGTCACACAGGGTGTCAAAGTGGAGGTGCTGAGCGAGCAGTACTTGATTGTTCATGGAGCCCCACTTAACCCATGTGAATATGGGTTCCTCTCCCTCAGTGAGTTACTCAAGAGCCTGCCGTACCTTGTTGAGGTGAGTGCAGGAGTTTTTATTTATTTTTTTTATCTTAAAATGCTCTTTCTACCAATACTCTCACACAGAAGCAGAATCTGACCGTTTTATCTTTGGTCTTTCACAGTTGTACCATGAAGAAAGTGATGACTGCATCAAAGCCTGCAACACTAACGGTGGTCGTGGTGAGGAGTGGGTGAGGCTGACCAGGCTTTACCAGTTTGCCCGTAACATGCGTGCGCTGCTCCACACCTACCATTACAACCAGATCTTCCTTACAGAGTTCCAGGGGGCCTATAACAAGTTTACAGGCTGCAGCCTTGAACCACGCTCCTACGGATACATCAACACTGATGAGCTGCTCAGCGCCATTCCACAGGTTGGAATTAATTCTGTTAGTTACTTTTACTCAATTGTTTTTGATTTCAGGACCACCCAAAGCTTTAACCTAATCCTGCATTGTTATATCTTAAACAGTCCTTGTAGTTTGTTCTTGTGTCTTCATATTTCTTTGATTGTTTTGTGTGGTCATCAGGTGGTCTGGATCAAAGGGCACGGTCGCAAGAGGATTATTGTTTTGAAGAACGATATGAAAGGTAAAGGTGATGGGGCATCTTTCTCATAGCAAGTTTCATATGATTTCAGGCAGGGGTCATTTTTTAGAGGTCTCAACTGTGGGTGCCTCTGGGAACAATTGGCGGTGCCTACACAATGTATGGACGTGTGTTTGTGTGTATTTTGTTTAGCAAGGGCAAGCTCTTCAGCCCCCAACAGCCCCCAGCCAGGAGAGGACATGGAAAGCCCGAGAGACAGCCCAGTTAGCAACGCAACGTCTGGAGCCCAAAGTCCAGGTAAGGTCACACAAGGACACTTTTTGGTTCATCATTAAAAAAAAATGTAAATCCTAAGAGCTGTTGACTAGCGATATAAAAATGAAGGGGGTGAAAATGTTTTGACTGGCATGTTTTCAAAGACCGCTCTGCTCTCAGTCTAGTTGAGATGGAATTTAGATGAAACGGCCATGTTCTTTTTTTACCTACCAGGTGGCGACAAAGCAGCAGAGTCAGAGCTGCTGTGTTTGACCTCACCATTAGACCTGCTGTGTGGTCCTGTACCATCCTGCCTACCCTCACCTCAGCTCCACCCCGACCCCGTTCTCCTCCAGGAGACGGACCTGATTCACTTTGAGGAGAAAACTCCATCGCCACAACCACCAACAGGTCAGTTTTATTGTTTTTGTCTTAAATTTTGAACCCATATCGGCGCCTAACAAATATTCCTGTAAGGCAATTAAAGTTGCCCTTTGCTTTGACTGAGATTTCATATTTGTCATTTTTACTTTAGAAATCAGGTTGTCAACTATGGCTGCAAAATAACAATTATTTTCATTGTTGATCCTTTTCTCGATTAATTGATCATTTGTTTGGTCCATAAAATATCACAGAATGATGAAAAATGATCAGTTTCCCGGAAGCCCAATTTAATGTCCTCAAATGTTTTGTTTTGTCTGCAACCCAAAGATGTTCATTTACTGTCATAGACGATCAAATAAACCAGAAAATATTCATAGAGAAGCTGAAATAAGAGAATTTAGGCACTTTTTCTCGCTCAGTTATCAAAATATTTTGATATTAATTACTTGCTAATCAATTATTTGTGTAATTGATGCAGCTCTATTCTCAACTTTACAGAAATTGATGTAAGATTTGCAATCAGTTTTGTTTTTTCGGCTCCTAATTCCAAAATGATATGTGCCTTAAGCCAGTCAGCTTGCTGGATTGCGTGGCCTTGGCACGGATGTGCTTTCTAGTTATCAAAAAAGATTTCTGCAAAATGGAACAAAAATACATTTTAATGAGCACATCACACTTTTGTTTGCACCCTTCCCGTCTTTCATTAGGTGTAAACTCAGTCTGTGTGATTTTCAGTGAGTGATGAACCTGAGGTGGCAGCTGCTCCTGACAGCACGTCTGAGCCGCCTGGCAGCGCAGAAGACTCTGTCACCGAACCTCCACTGCCCCCCAACGTGAAGACCCCCTCCTCCATGGACAGTCCCAGCAGAAGAGCCACGCGCAGCAGAATTAAGCTAGCTGCCAACTTCTCATTCACAACAGGCCTCTGATCCCATTCACACATACACACAAAGCAATACTAGTTCACATATAGTGTAACTCTAAATGCAAGAGTTGACTGGCTACACTGAACACGCTACACAGAAACGACCCCAGAAGAGCGTTGGTATTGTCCCCTCTACATCTTAACAGGCTGTTGCATTCTTCTGCTTTCTTCTCAATCACTCATCTGCGTTCTTTGTTCTTTGTTCTTTGTTTTCGTATTTCGTAATCCGTATGTTCCTCCGATGTTCACCAAGCTGTGATTTTCTTCTTGCAGATTTTCTGCAATTATTTAATTTGCCAAATTCATCTACTGTAACCTGTGTTTGATTTGATCTGAAGGGAAGTTAATTTATATTCCCATAATGTGCCTCTTCAGTTTAGGGCCCCTTTGTGTCAAAGAACACTCGCTGGCTCATAATGAACGCAGAGTCTAAAAAATGAGTTGGTTGTCACTGTATAGAGTATTGGGTAATATTGGGAGATGTGCTAGGGAGGAGTAACTAAGTTTTCTATGTAAAATCCAAGAAATGTAGTCTCCCATATTCTCAGTTTAGAAGATAAATAAGGTTTTTAGAGCTGGTTTTGTTCATGTATCATTAAGAAACCTTCATGTATACTCCCAAACGACAGAGCATTTAATTTATGATGTTCATTCATTTTTGAACTCATTTCAAATTTTTGGAGATTTTGGTTTGTAGCTAACTGTAGACACGTCAACTGAACAGGTTGCTAAGCACCTGCCTGTTTTTATTCTACTCATTCTAGTCCACTCTTGGGTAAAGATTTCTTAAGAGGTAGCTTCTCTTTGAGAGGTACATTCTCGACTTCTGTCTCTGTAAAGTAGCCAAAGGACAGTATTTTCAGTTTCTTTTGTTATGCAAAGTATTTAGTAGTCTGGAAGTGTTTGGCCTAAACCTGTGGTGTATTCTGTGGCAATTCAGTGATGAAGGACTGAAGCGATGAGTATCTGTCTGGTCAGATGGTTGCTTTTGTAAATGGAAGCTAACGTTCAAGCGTGGATGGCAACAGTTTTGATTGATAATGTGACAAGCGCTGCTCTCAGGAATTTTATTCTTGTAGTACTTTGACCTAATTTATAGCAAAGATTTTGGCTCGTCTCTCCAGGGGCCACTAATGAAGGCCTGAAAGGGAAAAGGTGCCCCTTTAATACTCCAGGTTGGTGCTTGGGCAGCAGGGACTGACATATACTTTGATTGTTCGGCTTCAGCCAGCGGCCAGTGTGTTTGTGTTCTTTTTAGCTCTATTTTGTCTGTGTGTGGTTTACACTGGAGTAGGTGGTGTGAAATATGCATGGTGTGCATAAATAAGTTTATGCATGGTGTAAGCCCAGGAGGAGCAGACAGGAACGAATGATGGTAGGACATTCTTTAAGATCAGTCTTTATTTCCACCATGTTTTAGAGGTCTTAAGAGTTGGCGTCACCCTTGCAGTTGCCACATTAGATGCTCAAGGTTTTGTTAAGTTAACCTTGTTGCTGGTAGTTGCTGTATCTGTGGCGACGTCCCTACTGCCTGAGTTGAAGGGTTCGAGGGGAGCAGTGAGCGCTCCTGAGTTTTGTTTTTTAATGACAAGGTGAATTGTGAGTTTTTAGGGATAAGAGATGGGACGGGAGGCGGTAGGCTGTTTGTGGAGCACCTCGGGGGCTCTGGGAAGCCTCCTGAACAGACTGTACACACAGAGGGACCCTCTGCGGCTCTCTGGAATCTGCCGGGCTTTTACAATGGCTTGTATTTGCCACGGTGCCAAAGGAATTGCCGTCGTACCTCCCCACCCCTCGCATCTCACAGAGGAGTTTTTACTTGCTGATGTGTGTTGGTTTCTCCGTTTTCCTCAGTCTCAATTGTTTACAAGACTGCTGGCTGCCAAAATGCCACCAAATGATGTCGGCTGCATATGAAGTTTTTGCACAATCCAGGCGCCACTGAAGTCAAATGATTGTCGTTGTTCTTGTTGTTTTGTGTTCAGAGAAAAGATTCAAAGAAATGGGTAAGAGCCCATTTTATCAGTTTCTGTCCAGTTCCAGTGTTTACCTCTTCAGGCAGTGTTAATACAGTTTTCTTTGTCAGACTTGATTATAAAAAATAAAATAAAAACCTTTTTAAAGCAGAGAGATTCCAGCTGCCAACTCACCAAAACGTCTGAGATGCCAATCAAAATGTTTTTAATTGGGGCTGTTCAGGTCTCTCCTGCAATGTTTTACTGACTGTCTGGAAACCTTTTGATTATGGAATGAGCAGTTAGGAATAGTTAATGATTTAGAATTGGTAACAGTAAAGGGGATTAAAATGCTCACGAGATGTCTAGATTTAACTTTGGCAGTAAGAATGTATTACTTTTTGTGAATTTGAGCAAAACCTTAGATCTCCCTCAGAGTGCTGCAGTGGCAACTAACTCGGATGACAACATTAACTTCCCCGTTTAGCTTTCTCTTTGGTTTTGGTTACATCAGTGAGAAGCTATTGTACCTGTCAAAATATGCACTTTTGCATAGTTTTGGTTCATGAAATACACATGTGAAATTAGTTAGTGGCCAGAGAGGGGTTGAAACATGTTTTTGTGTCTTTAACTCAGTTTCTGTTTAACTGTATCTGACCTCGTCTTGCTTATTCAGTTTTCACATTGAACGACAGTTCTTCTGTTACTCAGCAGTGTCCTTAAAACTCCTGCCTTGTGATTATTCTTTATCGGGTTAACAATTGTCTCTACATTTGCCTCCGTCACACCGTTTTACCGCCTCACTGCACCAGAAGTCGCTGTAACAGTCTAATGTTGTTGAAGGGACCAAAAAGATTTCCGTAAATAAATTTCACAAGCATCACTTCTGCCTCCTCTCAGTATTTTTGTGGTTGTTTGAAAGAATCAAAATCAACAAAATCCTGAAAGATGCTCTTTATTTAAACACATATGTACAGGTAGTTTCAGCTTATTTTCTGCATATTTGTTCAATATTCAACATTAGGACCTTCATAAATTCACTACTACTACAGAACACTGTTATCAGAAGGAAGGGGAAGTGACAAGAGCAACACTTTTCTTGACAGGAGTCACTAATGTCCTAAATACACTCAAACATACACCGTCTATTGTAGGCATTTACAAGAGAATTGCATTAATTTCCTGGTGTTTATCATAAAAATGCAAAACTAAATCAGAGGATGCAAGTTGTTTGCTTATCAGCAATATCATAATAACTGATTGTCACACTACCACAGTCAGGAATTCCTGGTAGGTTGACGTTGATATGGCCAGTGATGGGACTCTGGGGAAATGAGCAAGCATGGTGGACCATTTATAAAAGAGAAATTAAAACCCTACCATGTTGAATAAAATGACTTGTGATGGTGTATACAGTATACAGGTGTTTAAATAACAAAAGGTCTCCACAACACCAGCTGATACGCTGTTACAAAAGTGGGTCGTATGACACTGTATGCCAGTTAGCGTTAGCGTCTATAGAGTGGAATGAAAATGTTTGGACAAAAATCCTAGTTGTCAGATTATATTTTATATAACATTAAAGTGGGAGGATTCTGCATTTTTAGCCTACAAAACCTTTATATCAGATCTCAACGTAATATTCTTAATGTGAATTTGCTGATATGATACTGTTGTATGGACGGGTTTGGGTTTGAAAATGCCCCCGGAGAAACTCTCCAGACAAGTATTAAGACATCTGTTTTTGTTTCCACAAAAAAAAATCCACATTAAAATCCCTAAAAAGGCTCTTTAATCCTTTGCTAATTAAAGTGTGTGTGGTGGTGTGGCAAAATGTTGGGTGTATTTCTTGGAGTTTTCCTGCTTGACGCAAGATGTCCCCTGCTTCACTGTAAAGTGTCAGTGTCTGTGCACTGCTGGCTTCAGGTTTGTACATCACACTGCTAGATCTCGGGTAGTAAACTCCATTTAAAAACACCCGAATACTTTATTTTGCACAGCACTGTATGTCTATGTATATTCCTATTGTCTTATTACCACTGTTCCTCTATGGTGGAGTTTTAAAGGACATGAAGCACCTGCTGCTGAGGCTGTTCCCTTGGACATGAATAATTCTTTATCTAGTTTTGATGATACGGAAGCACCTGCAGTTGACACAGATTATTTTATGTGTCTCATGTTCTATTGAAAACTTAGATTAGTGCTCATATGAGAGAGATGAGCTGTACTGACAGACATCTTTTAAAGCAGACAAATGCTATTTGTTGGCATTCAGCCTAATATGACCCAACTTTGTAGCAGCGCTGCGGTGGAATTTTAGTCACTGAAGTCTGTTTTTATCAAGTATTTGTTTGAGGTTTGTAAATTTTGTTAACTTTCACTGAACACCAGACTCTGCCGACGCTTTCTATGCAGTACGGCAGATATTACAGGATCACAGATAGAGAATGTAACTGCTGTTCAAGCTAAAGCACAGAGTCAAAAATGTTTCTCCGCTTCAGTACGAAAGCATCGGCAGCCGTATTGTTTGTCTGAACTACATGTGTTCATCCAACCTGGGAAAAGTGATTAAAAACGCTGAGAGGTTCACTGGTTGGTGTTAAAGGGTTGAAATGGAAGAATAAATACCCGTTATCAAACATGACGGGATGATGACCGATGTTTTTTCCTGTCAGAGAACCCCAGCATTTATACTTCACTTTGTGCTTGTAGGTCTGTAAATGCTTGCACTGTTTATCAACCCACATGATCATAGACCATATTGATATTTAAAGCAATGTTACATGATGGAAGGACCCAAACTGATTCTCATTTAAGACTTTTTAATATTTACAGTTCCCTTTCCCTCATATACACCGTGGACAAGTATCTTCACTTATAGAAGCTCCTTACTGTACGCTTCCCTTCAAGTACTGATTAGGGATCAGTTCCCAAACTCTGGGCTGAATCTTTGTGGCTGTAACTCAATTACAAACCTGATTCCTGCACAGTTTTGAGGGGAAACGCAGCAAACTGAGGTTCTCTGAGTCACAGGAAGTGATGTATGGCATGTCACATGACGTGAGTGTGTGTGGTTTCTGACAGGAGGAAGGGCTCATGGAGAGATCTGTGTCAGTTACATGACGGCACATTGGGTGGCTCCACAGCAATCCTTAATGATGGCCACTCCTGACTTGGTGATGGATGGTTTGTTGGGAGGCGGCTCCGGGATTTGTCTCTTGGGCTTTGGCGGACCTTGTTGTGTAGAAAGAGGAAAAAGAAACGATCACACCATGGAAGTGAACAACACTCCTGTCCCTCTCTCACTGTGTGACACTCACTTTGTGTGACCTTGAGCTTCTTCTCCAGAGGCATCAGCTTCAGTCTGAGGAACTCTGCCATCTCCTTGTCTTCCTCTCGCTCCCTGAGTTTAAGAGACGGTCACATAGTCAGCCATATGAATACAGTGCACCT